TGTTATGGGGTGCATTATGAGCATCAGATTCGGGAAATGTCGACTATTATGATCAGAGAGTGTTATTATGGTCTTGTGAATGATGTGGTGCATGGTGTGAATTCAACAAGGGTGTGCAGTCATGTTCTGGTACAGCGTGTGGTGATTGATACGGTGTTCATATGTTGAAGGCAGGCCTGGCAGAGAATTTCGGATGTTGAAACTGGGCTCTAAGGCGTATTTGCCTAAATGAAAGAGGTTATCTTTAGATTTGATCGAGCTAATGTGCCCAACTGAGTTGTGGTAGCACGGGCAGGTGCACGAGGTATTAAGCAGTGATTCCAGACAACCCCATCACAATTCCTAGCACGTTCGAGGACGAATGTATGTTTAAGTGGGAGAGGATATAACGACCCGACCGGTCGTTTTGAGCTCTAGCGCGCCGTTCAGCAGTTTGAGGCCATGAGCAGCTTCAATTCAGGCATTATGACTTGTACGCGTGGTCGGAATTGAATTTTGGGAAGTTCGGAGTTGATTTAGAAAGAGAATCCTCATTTCGGAAGCTTTAAGTTGAAAGAATTAACTAGGATTGGATATTTTAGTAAACGACATCGGAACCGGGATTCAAAGGTTCCAGCAGGTTTGTATGATGATTTTAGAGTTGGACGTATGCTCGGATAGGGTTTTGGATGACTCGGGGGCGTTTAGGCGCCTATGGTGGAAGTTAGCATTTTGGAAGAAATTTCATAAGTTTGGGTTGAAGGGCATGTCAGTGTTATCGATGTCCGTTCGGGATTCCGAGTCTGGGAGTAGCTCCGTATGGTGATTCTGGTGTTGGGAGCGCGATCGAAAGTGAATTAGGAGGTCCGTGGGGCATTTTGGAGTCATTTGGCTAAAGATAGAAATTTGAAGGTTTTTGAGAAGTTTGACCGGAAGTGGACTTTTTGATATCGGGGTCGGAATCTGATTCTGAAAGTTGGACTAGGTCCGTAATCTCGAATATGATTTGTGTGCAAAAGTTGAGGTCAATCGGACGTGATTTGATAGGTTTCGGCATCAAATGAAGAAGTTCGAAATTCTAAAGTTCATTAAGCTTGGATTGGAGGTCGATTCATGATTTTAGCGTTGTTTGATATGATTTGAGGCCTCGATCAAGTCTGTAATGTGTTTTGGGACTGGTTGGCATGATTGGTTGGGGTCACGGGGGCCCCGAGTGGATTCTGGGTGGTTAGCGGATCGATTTCGGAGTTTAAAGAGGAGCAGAAGTTGCTGGTTGCTGGTGTAACCGCACCTGCGAGACTAGGGCCGCAGGTGCGGAGCCGCAGAAGCGGCCCTGTGGTTGCAGATGCGGTGTTGGCGGGGGAGAGCTGGGACCGCGATGCGGTCATCTCGCTGCAGAAGCAAGACTGCACCTGCGGATGTTGAGGCGCAGAACCGGAAAAGGTAGCCTGGAGAGAGGACCGCAGGAGCGGTAGAGGGGCCGCACCTGCGGAACGCAGAAGCGATCGTGTGACCGCAGGTACGGAAGTGCTGGAGGCAGTAAGTTCTTTTAAAATCGGGGGTTGGTCCTTTTTTCCCCATTTTTCATTGGGTGTGGACGATTTTGGAGAGCTTCAAGTGGGGTTTTTCATCATCAACGACAAGGTAAGTTAATCCCACCTATCTTGAGTTAAATATATCGATTATGTATGGATTTTAGCATGTAAATTGGTAGAAGTTTGGGGGTTTGAGGAAAACCTAGAAAATTCATATTCTTGGAATTTGACCACGATTTTGGGTATGAAATTGAGAGTAAATTATATATTTGAGTTCGAGGGGTTATGGGTAAGCTTAATCTTCGAAAATCTTCGGAATCCAGGCACGTGGGCCCGAGAGCGATTTTGTCAACTTTTCGATCGGGGTTAGGAATTGTTATAAATTGGATTGTAATGAGTAATTGAGCATATATTAATGGATTTGCATAATTATTGTCTAGTTTGGAGCATTGTGCATCAATTTGAGTCTTCGGAAGGGCGTGGAAGGCCGGTTATGGATCTTCAGAGCGAGGTGAGTCTCCTTTCTAACCTTGTGAGAGGGAATTGTCCCCATAGGTGAATTAATTGGATTTGTGCTCCTAATTGTGGGGGCTACATGCGCATGAGGTGACGAGAGTCCGTGCGTAGCTACTATTATGTTTAAGTCTGGGTAGTCTAGGACCCAAAAGCATGCTATACTTGGAATATTTATAATCTTACTAACAGTTTGAGTCGCTTAAATCACATCGAATTAGTGAATGAATTTCTAAAAAAGATTAAACTTCATTTTCTTGAATTGTTAAAAGAGAATTGGCTTTTCCTTGGATAATTGTTCCCTGAAAAATTCATGATTGACTGATTGTTGTTTATTTATATTTGACCGCGTCGCATGTATGATTCGTGAGTGGGGTAATAGATGCATCTATGGTTCAGGCCGCTCGACCCTCAGCAGTGCACATTTTACATTCATGTTGGATCGGGCCGTACGACCTCCGCATGAGTTGCACATGTTTGTATTGCTTGTCTTGAGATTTATTGATGTTGCTACCTGCTCTCCCCGGCTTGAGATAATTGTTAATTAATGGATCATGAATCCGGAGACTTTTAATAAAAAGGAATTTTTACCTGTTTGGAAACTTATTTGAATCTACTGTTGTCCTTAATAAATCCGTGAGTCATCGCATTAATAATAGTATTATTGGACCACTAGTAAGTGACGAAGTTGCCATCTCGTCTCTACTTCTTCGAGATTAGGCAGGATACTTACTGAGTACACGTTGTTTTCGTACTCATGCTACACTTGTTGTGCATTTTGTTGCACAGGTACAGGTACTTCTACTGGCCTATTGGGCGTAGCAGCACGGGCGACACAGAGACTAAGCGAGTTGTATTTCCTCAAGGCGAACCGCAGCTAGTATAGTCTCTCTCATAATTGTATTTATTTTCTGTCCCCTTTGTGTTCCAGACAGCTGTTGCACTTTATTCAAATTCCTAGAAATTGCTCATGCACTTGTGACACCGGGTTCCGGGATAGTTATGCAGTATTTTATATTAATCGCTTATCATTTAGTTTGATTTGAGACGATTATCTTTAATTGGTAAGTTTGAGGAAATTCATAGATTTCAAGAGCATTAAAACGAGAATTTAATTAAGTATTTAGGTTGGCTTGCCTAACAGTGGTGTTCGGCGGCATCACGACCCTTAGTGAATTTTGGGTCGTGACACTCTTGGTTTTGGAGTGTGGAAGCTATTAGACACCTCTGGGGTTTCTTTATGGAACACTTTTCTTTACGGGTGAGTGACGGTAGGAAGATAACGTTTTGGCAGAACCCTTTGGTTTGGCCGCATGAAGATGTGGTGCGAGGATTTGAAGTTTGTAGGTCCAAAATTCGACTAAATTCATTTAATAATTGAGTATGGGTTCGGAATTTATTATTTAGTAGATTATTTTACACATATATAGGGCCCGAGAACCCATTAGTTTATATATGCTACATCCGCCCCTTACCACATACCTCTGAAAGATAATTTTCCATCCCTATTCAGATGTGCAAGTACCAAAATCTTCTAGTACTACCGACATAAGGCAAGACCTAAATTGCTCAGACTCTTCATTTTCAGTGCCACACCCATGTTGACACGATGTGGGTGTGAGTGTGAGATCTATAGCCTATATGGTTAATCGATTTTGGGTACTTTGACCAAAATCGATGGAGAAATTCAGGACAATTTCAATGTTTTCGCTTGAAATCAAATCAAAAGTTAGAATGAAATTGAAGAAAATGGAATACATTGTATATAAAAATATCTATGTCAAATGCTTTTCCTTTTATCTTCCTCTCGGGTTCTCCTTTGAAAATCTAGAAGGCCTACAATGCAAGTTCCAATTAGAAAAGGCTTTTCTATTTTCTTATCAGCTTAGTTCAAATGTGGATGTTGTTCACTTTTTATGGTTACTGAACTTCTAGATCTTTTCCTGCACTCTACAAGCACCATGTAAGTTTTCCACATGATGTCTCATAATTTAGGCATATTTTTATAACTCTACATTTTTATATTTGGATTATTTTTAGTCGAATCCCCGCAACTGTACCTGTACCTGGATCCACACCCCCGAATCTGAAAATTTAGATCGTGAAGGATCTGTCCTCCAGATCCGCACCCGTATCGGACACCCGCACCCGAATTGTTGCAACTTAGGGCAAGACTTTGGGTGGTTCATTCATCTAGGAGAGATCTAGGACCATTTCTCGATTTACGCATTTTATTTTTGTGCAAGAGTCATGTTAATCTTCTCTGTATCGTTCCAATTTTATCAGATGTCCACAAAGGAAAATCTCCGGAGAGATCTCATTTTGGGGTAAAGTGCTCCTATGATTCCATTCTCAGATTTCGAACTCTTTTATTTATATTCCCATGTACCATAGCAAACATTGACAGTATCTCGAGGAAAAATTATTTCCCTCTTTTTTAGAGTATAATATAGCTCAAGTTATTTGAACTTTCCAAGTCCTTTACTGCAGGAAAAAGAATGGCATTGGTACCACCAAATATTATTTTCCAAAGATTTTCCGAGGAATTTTTTTTTTTGGATGAAATTTAAAAATAAAAAATTTAATTGCTCCTACTGTGGAAAATACACTTAATTTCCACAAGTTATAATGTTTCTGTTCTATTTTCTTATCTTTTTCAAAAAGTTCTAAGTCATGTACGACTCCACAAGGTGATTAATTAATAATCGGACAAGTATAAAAAAAATTGAGTTTAAATTTTATTCCTACATCAGTTTAACCTCAAACTACAATCAGGTCACTTATGCTAACGACACATGTTAAACCATTTCAATCCAAATCAACTTAGGTTCAAAGGAAGTAGAGAGAGAGAGAGTAGTGTCCTAGAAGGAAACAAAACGTTTTTTTTTTTTTTTCCTTTTACGACCAAAACTTATGACTATATAAATTAAAGCTAGGTCACAAAGGTATTTCTCAAATCCTAGTTCTCTCTAAATGCATAAAGTAGAAAGAATCGAAGCTGCAGACTTGATTAGCAATCTTCCAGATGATGTGTTATGTTCAATAATCTCCTTACTTCCTACTAAAGAAGCAGTAGCAACAAGTGTATATTCCAAACGTTGGAGATTCCTATGGAAATCCTTATCTCGTCTTTCTTTTCATCTTAATTACGTTGGTGTTAATCATGATGTTGGTCCACGGTATGTTCCTAGAAATCAACGTAATAAGAAACTGTCCATTGTGGACAAGTTTCTTTCATCATACGGTGGTGTTGATTTTATTGAATTTTTTCACTTGCATCACTTACCAGAAGATTGGACATGTTCTGATTACATGCTAAGGTTGATTGAACTTTTGAAAAAGAAAGAAAGATTTAAAGGGATTTCACTTTCGTGTGATAAAAATAGTGCAATGCGTGGGAAAAGGTGGTTTCCACCTGATTATAGAGCGTATTCAAGTTTCAAATCGTCCGACATTAACCATTTAAAGATTATTACTGTACCGAGAAGCATATTCAGTGGGAGATTTCTTCAAGTGGTAGAGCTGGGTGAATATGTACTAAAAGATGCTTCACCTTTTAAAGGTTGCGTCAATATTAAAACCCTAAAACTCACAGCTTGTCGTGTAAGCGAAGAAACCCTAATCGACATCCTCGGTGATTGTGAGTTACTGGAGAATCTGAGCCTTGGTGCTTGTGTCGGCATGTGGACGAATTTGGGCGTTCGTCATAAGAAACTCAAGTTATTAGAGATTCATCGTATGAAATTATGTAGATTTTACCTAATTTCTAAAAGCTTAACTAAGATGGTGTTGGAAGATTTTTCTTATACAATCAAAACATCTCATATTTATTGTCCAAACCTTCGAGTCTTTTGGACAAACAACCCCGAGTTGCTACATAGTATCCAAGTAAGTTAGCGAATACATTTTTCCCTTATTGATTGTGTGAGAATATATGAGTTAGATGCTTAAATTAATAAGTTAGTATTCTGACCTTTTTCCAAAAGGTATCTTTATTCTTTAATTTGCTGCTTCTCCTCTTTGATGTGTTCCCTTAAATATGAAGCTTTCTTTTATTGCTATTAAATGTCCAGAGAAGATTTCATCTATCTCTTGCTTGTTGTGCTTTTATTTTGATCAGTTGCAGGTATCGCATAACTCTAGGAATGTAGTTGCTCGTCTTCTACAACTCAGGGTAATTGCTATTAATTGACCGATCAAAATCGATCGGTTGGCTCACTATACTGATCACACGATTACCGACCCCCATGAATCGATAGGTTTTCGGTCGATTTTTGCCAATTACCGATCAATGTCGGTTTTGGCAGTCGGTTTTTCCCTTTTTTTTTAGTAATGTCTTGTAAAGTATCACTTGGTGAATTAGCAAGTCTTATTTCTATAAATTCATTATACTCAAACAACACTTTTTCAACAATATCTAGAGCTATTGAAAATCGAACAGTAACCGTTAACCGAATTGGCTTATTGATATTAGGTTATCAGAGTAATGGTTGGTAAACGGCTTAAAGTTTTATAATTAACGGCTTATCGAATTTGTAACGATCCGACTGATCATTTTGAGCAATTTCGTCCAGTTCGTCAATTTGAGGTCACGAGCAGCTTCATGTTATGTGTATCAACTTGCGTGCATGGTTGTATTCTGTTTCCGGACGAATCGAAGTCGAATTGGAAGGAGGAATCTAGTTTTGGAAGCTTAAGCGGTGAGAATTTGACCGGAATTTGACTTTTGAGTAAACGGCTCCGGAATGAGTTTTGGATGATGTCAGCAGCTTCGTATGGTAATTTTTCACCTAGGCGTGCGTTCGGATTTAGATTTGGAGGCTCGTACGATGATTTGAGGCATTTCGGCGAAAGTTGGAAGTTGAAGTTTGGAAAATGAAGAGGTTTGACCCATAAGTTGACTTTTGTGCAATCGAGGTCGGAATGCCATTCCGAAAGTTGGAACAGCTCCGTTACATCATTTGGGACTTGCCTGCAAAATTTGGTGTCGTTTGGAGTTGATTTGATATGGTTCGGACGCTTGGTTGCAATTCTAGAAGTTCTTGAAGTTCATAGTGATTTTCATGCGTTTTGGCATCCGATTCGTGGTTCTAGAGGTTATTTTGATGTTCCGATCGCGGGAGCGAGTTCGTGAGTCGACGCCCCCCTTTTTCTCGCAAAATCGGGTTTACGACATTCGGGAAGACAACTCTATTCCCGTTTGGGAATTGGGTTCTTGGAATTGAAGAGTCGCCACCTAATGATTGAGTGCATTAGGACACTAAGAAGGGTTTTGAATTGGAAAACCAGAGTTCGGGTAAGGGCTAGAAATTATCTTGAGGGGAAGGTGTTAGGCACCCCTCAAGATCCACTAGTGTGGTTCCGGCCATGCTATGTTGTGACTTTAATGAAAACAAGTATGCAAATTAATTTACACATAAGGGTTGCTAACAAGCATGTTGGAGCTTATAAACGAAGAAGGAAAAGGGATAATGCAGTAAAAAAAATAAAGGGGAGTATTGGGTGATTGAAAAGACATAATTTGTTGATATTAAACAAAGTAACATAGGGCAAGGGGTCCTAGGTTTATAAATCACATGGATCATCCACACAACACCGGTAACCAATCGTACGCGTAGTGTCATCGTGCGATCATCATCTCCATGTCTACCCTTCCCACCCCGATAAGGTATTAAGCGCGAAATGGTGTCGTTACCTACAGCGTACTATTACCCGTCCCACCTATCAGTCCTGGAGGCTTTAGGACCACTAATCCTAAAGGGAGGGAGCTTGGCTTTTCAGAGGTTCAAAAGGTTAAAATACTAAGGCGTCAAGCAAAACACATAAGACAGTTATGGGAGCACAAAAGCAATTAAGGCTCAGACAAACCTCCTTTAATCACAGAAATCATGTAGTTTAGCACGTCTTACACATACTGATTAGATCCAAATTATGCTTAACGTTAGGCAGGTTGGTTCATTACATATTTTTAGACAAGAAGTTCGCTTTAGGCTCGCCTGGCTGTAACTTATCGAAGACTGGTGCAATTAATTAACTACTTACTTGTTTCCTTAAGTGATGGTATCTACTGGTTTCAGGAATAAAGAAGTGAACTGATTACTGAAAGTTGCCAGTTTTAACAGAATGATACGAGTTCTGCATTTGGTTACTACTGACGGACTAATCTTAAAACGAGTGACTCAGATTAGGTTAATAGATCCTATAGGCATGCTTTATAGCATTGTTAATTTTAAACACTTTTTACGGGCGTAGCAAGAGTGCAGAAAATCCTACGAGCATGGTATCTAGGATGCAATTGATTATTATTTTGACCTACAACTGTTTGCCTAATGATGGATGCAAAAATGCAGAATCTTAAAGACATAGCTCCTACATGCGGAATTCTTATGAGCAGGATATCTATATGATATGCAGAGTTCTTATGAGCATGATTTCTATATATATATGAAAGTGCTGAATTCATATGAGCACCTGTGAGCATGATTTCTATCGATGAAAGTGCAGAGATAAGCATGACATCTATATGTGAAAGTGCAGAGATAAGAATGATTTCTATATGTGAAAGTGCAGAAATTCGAAGAAAAACTCCTATAGGCAGGATATCTACCCTTATGCATATACAGATAGCCCTCCCCTTTTTACTAAAACCCCATAAGTTATTACAAAATTTATTACAGACCAAATGAATCAAACAGAAAATAAAATTACATCAGAGCTTTTAAGCTGCATCCAAGGAGCCTAATACAGACCCAAGGTCTAACAATATGATGTGAGCCAACTATCGGGATCAAGTTCCAAGGCCTTTCCCTTATCTGGAATGTGTCAAAGTTCCAAAGAGTTTCAAGAACTCCAGGCAATGCTTACACCTAGATATCATTACAGAACTGAATTAAAGTGCAATGTGGAAGAGCCAGCCTTCCAACGTCCAAGTTCAGAGGGAACTCAAGGTCCTAAGGCAAGGCTCATTGGAGGGGGGCAGAACTTAGAATCTAGGAACAAGTGTAAGTGCAATAGAGGGGATTAAGGGATGCTAAGGCAGGCTGGTGGTCATGCCCAGCAACATAGATTGCTGGCACACCCCTGACCAGCCCACTAGCCAAACATTGGAGAGTCCAGGACCTATTGAAGGTCAAACCATGGCCTGGGCAGTAATTGGGATACTGTCAGGCCAAGGTTTCAACTCAACACATAAAGGGGATTAGGGGTAGGGATTCATATGAGAACAGAAGCAAAGAAAGGAAAAATACTTAGCATAAGTTACGAAGCATGAACAGCAAACCACACAAAAGAATGAGACTACAGAATAAACACATAGGGATGAGGCAAAAGTTTAAATAAAGGCATACCAGTTTCAGAAAGAGACAAGCAAAAGAGAGCAGAAGTCTTGCAAAGAAGCCACAACACAAACAGCAAGAGAGAATACTTTGTGTGTGAGTGTGAGTGCAGAAAAGACTCCAGTGTTCGTGTTTTTGTTGTGTTGGGTGTTAATAAAAGAGCAGGTATTTATAGTGTGAGAAACACGCAGAAATAAGGTAAGGACTGTAAGTCAGACATAATTGGAGGAATATGTGTCTTATTAAAATCAAATCAGTATCAAAGACTTCCTTTAATAAAGCAATTAAACCAAACGGTAGCATGCAAGTGTTAAATAAGGAAAGAAATCACGCAGGGCTGGACATGACAAATAAGGAAATATTTTCAGCACAGTACGAGTATACCACATGTATTAGGGGTTAAGTTCATTAGACCTTAATTAAGGAAAGGCCTGTAAGAATCCCATACTAATGTAATTAAGGTAATGGGATCAAATCAACTTAAGTAGAAAGGCAGGGTCGAAAGGAAAATATTTCAACAAGTCCAAGAAACAAAGGAAATCAAAACAATAAAGGAAAGAATCAATTCAAGAGTGCAATCAAAGTTACACAAAGAGATTTGAAATCAGTCCACAATCAAGGTTATTTTGAGAGGGAAATTTGACTTATAAAGAGTGCATAAACATTAAGCACGCGAGGAGAGTGTCATGCAATCAAAGAAAATCAGTGAGTAGAGGACCATAAGAACATGGTAGTCATCTCAGAGAAGAGGGAATAGCATGCGAAAGGTCAAGTAAAGAGGTCAAAATCATATGAAGAAACAAAGTTGACACAAAGATTTCGAAACTCAGTCAAATAGTAGAGGAAACAACTTCAGGAACTCAAATAGGTCCAAAGAGACTAGGGTTTTGAAATCAACACGTGCAGAGATATGAAACAAACAAATCACATAACAAATAATCTCAAAACTCGAGTGAATCCCAAATTCTAGGGTCTTTTACCGTTAATCGAGTCTAGAGATGAAGACAAGTAAGTCAAGCAAAAAGAAAATATTAACGGAATAAGTGCAGAAATCATAAAGGAACACGTATTTCCCAGTAGAAGAAAAACATAATAAAGACGATCATGCAAAAAAAACAGTAGAAGAACTCGTAAGAACAAGGTAGAAGAAACACAGTAGAAGAAGCACAGAAACATGTACAAGAAACATAGTAGAAGAAACATATAAGAATCACAGTAGAGCATGTTAAAAATATCAAAGAAACCCTAAATCGGGAAAGATGAAAAAGTTAAAAAGCAAGTTTTGAAAGAAACTTTTGAGTAAACGTTTGAGACCCCAAGATAAACACAGATCTAGGAAAGATCTAGAGAAATCAGAAGAACCTCGAAAGGTTTGGGTTTCAGAAGAAACCTAGAGGTGAGAAAGGCCTGGAAAACTTGTGGATCTAAGCCGGAGAAGTTAGACTCGGGCTCGAACGTCCCCGATATGCCGGAGTAGAGCCGGAGACGACCATGGAACCCTGAATCGAAGGAGATCTGGGTAGAGATCTTCAAGGTCAGGCCTTGAATCTTCAGAAAACCGGTGTATAAGAGCACCAGAGGGTGGGTGTAAGATCCCCATGGCTTTGGTGGCCATAGATTCCGGTGGATCTCTGGTCTGAGACGGCAAGAGGTGGCTAGGGTTTGAGAACCTTTGAGAGAATTTGAGAGAGTGGAGGGTTTCAGAGGCGGCGGCTAAGGAGAAATGAGGTAGGGTAAGGGGTCGTTTGAATTAAAAAAGGAAAGGGATGAGGGGAGCCGTTGATCTAATTAAATGGGTTAAATGGGGACCGGGTTTGGGTATGATAGGAAAGGGTATGGG